ATGATACCTTTCTTATTGGACTAACAAAATATATAAAAGACAAGCTTTCGAGAGTTAACCTCTCTCCTTCAGGTCAGAAGCAATACTAATCAACATGACAACGTTTACCACTTAAAGCAAGAGAAAGTTGTTAGGGAGGGGGGGGGAGGGGTGACATAAATGTTGGACCTGGGAGTAAAGAATGTATCCTGATAACTAGAACACAGAACAAATAAACATAGGATGACCAATAAACCCTAAACAGATCAGGGATATACAACGTACATGAATATTATTATGTTCTGTATATTCATAAAAAGTTCAGGTAGTGTGTGTGTATATGTAGGTATGTGTGTGTGTGTACATAATTGAGGACATGGTATGTTTTACTATATCCTCAATAATGAATGGGAGTGTTCATCACTTCCTGTTCACTCATAGTTGTAGTTATAGTAAACATACTCTGTCCCCATGTTATGAATGAACAGGAACACTCAGTATAGAGGATTCCTGTTTGTTTATAACAGGGGCTGCAGGAAAAGAGATGGAGGACTTTGTGTCCCCAATCTCTTTTTCTATTTTAAAAGGGAAATATCAGGGATCTGTTTAGACCCCCCAATATTTCCCCGAAGCTCCTAAAATAAAAATATTTAATAAAAAAATTAATAAATATAAAAAATTGGGAAAATGAAAAAAAAAATTAGGTTTCGGTTTGGTGTTGAATTTTCTATTTCGGTGCACCTCTAGAATTGGCCGTACGAGAGATGACTTTAGTGAATCATATTTAGATTATTTTGTGAGGGTTTTTTTTTCATTAAAGTCATTGTGCAGAGATCTGTTTCCACTTTGACATGAAAATATTTCTGTTGATCGGGGGTAAAAAATGTCAACTGTTACTGTGATTCAAAGTTGGACAATAACACAAGAAAACTTAACACTTGTTTGTAGGCATTGTATCAAAGATACCGGACAGAAGGAACCGTTTTGTTGGTTGAACCCGACAGTCAGGCTCTCGGTTGCTTTAGCATCAGAAACTTAGTCCAGAGACAGGTTTTCTTTTGGGCCACATTTATTAGAGTGTCTGAAAAAAAGAGTATCGGGGGACTTTGAAAAAAAAAAAGGCAAGCTTCTGACATTTTCTAACACGTCCTAAGCGTTGACAGCTGCCACTTAATTGGTTGCTGTAGGCAAGTGACACTTCGGAACACGAGGCCCATTTGAAGTATGTGATGGCCCCTAAAATATACAATGGCACACGCATTTGGCACACACTCAAGCTACTTCTACAGTGAATGCAGGCACTCCAGATTCCACAAAGGATGAGCAGAAGGACACATCTTCTACTCTATCCTGGGGATGAGGAAACTGTGACCAGGAGAAACAAGCTCACGCAATGCTCTTCATAAGGCCTCGTTCACACCAAGCGCAGAGCAGTTGCAGACCGGCTCAAAACTGCATCCAATGCATTCCGATGGTATTTTTTGCTCCAGTTCACATGGCAGCTTGCAGTTCCATAGCAGGTGAAAAAACTGCAGCAGGCGCTATTTTACCTGCTCTGGATCTGCAAACGCATCAAAAACGCATGCAAATGCCTGGAACGCACTGAAAGCCCATTTTAAACTTAAAAAAAAAAATTTAAGCCAAAAACGCATCTAAAAGACTACCGTGCGTGTGCAGAAACCTGACCGGATCTGCTCTGCATTTGGTGTGAACAAGGCCTAACAGTTATCCGGGACTTATGGATATGACACAGCAGGACAGGCACTCCAATATTTAAGTACAGGTATTCCTCACTTAACGATGGGGTTCCGTTCCTACGACCAGGTCGTTAAACGAATTGGTCGTTAAGCGAGGAACTGTATACAATACTGTACTGCATTAGTACAGTACTGTATAGTGTTGCAGATGTACAGTACCGAACAGTGTACTGCAAATCGGTCAATAAAGTACTTACCGAGACCCACAGTGGAGAACGGAGTACAGAACTTCCGCCGGCGAGACGTCGCACTGCCGCTGCCACGTTCCCTGCACTGCCGCTGCTTACGACCACGCTGCCACTGCTCGTAAGTGCGAGTGGTTGCAAAGCAGGTAAGTCGTACAGTGAGGAATATCTGTACATTTAAACCCTAACTGAATGGCATTGAGTTTTCTAAAGATCTGCATATAATAATGAAATGCCGTGTTTTTTTATAAGGCTTTTCTTCTTCTCTTTCATTGCATCTCAGTGCTACCGATCTCCTGGATCTTCCATGGCATTTCTCAGGATGGGTTTCCTGATGGTGACAACATAAGACCATGCCTGCATCATGTATGTTCAAACAGCCGCTTGTAGTCTTCACCAGAAACAGGATGGAGACACAGAGCTTTATCACCATATGTCAGGAAGTGCCTGGACAATGACCTTCATGGCAGGATCACCGGTGATTATTTTAATGAAAAACCCCGATTTATATTAGAATATGACTTTAACGTGACATTAAACCCTCAGATTTTTTAACATAAAACAATACTGTAATGTAGGGATGCACCGATACCAGTATTTTGGTACGGAGTACCGATAGTTTTTTTTGGTACTCGCCGATACCGATTACCCAAAAGTCCCATTCAGGAAGCCAGGTGGCGTGTAATGACCTGGCTTCCCGATTAGCCGGGCAGCGTGTAAAGACTCGCCACCCGGCTTCCCGATTAACAAGGAAGTCTGTCCCCTCTCACGTGTCCAGCCTATCGCCACCATGGCCTCTGCAGCCAGGAGCAGCCTTCCGCCAGTACCCAGCCGGAGCGGACTTGCTGGCCAATCATGGAAGCCGGGCGCCGTGTAATGACACGGCGCCCTGCTTTCTGATTGGCCGGGGGGCCGGCTCCATGCTCCCTTGTCATGAGGTGACGAGGGGGCATGGAGCCGGCCTCCCGGCCAATCAGAATGCCAGGCGCTGCGTCATTACACGCTGCCCGCCTTCCTGATTGGTCGGGAAGTCGGCTCCATGCTCTCTCATCACAAGTGACGAGGGAGCATGGAGCCGCTTCCCGGCAAATCAGGAAACCGGGCAGCGTGTAATGACACGCTGCCCAGCTTCCTGATACTCGGGCTAGGCATCGGAGCATTTGGGCGAGTACTCGCCCAAATACTCGATATCGGTGCAACCCTCCTGTAATATGTGCCTTACTGTAATCCATGGTTGTTTCCCTTCTCTTTGCTGCTCTTCCTTTTAAATCTGTAGCTCTTCTCATGCTGGGGAGAACTTCCGCTTTGCAGCTGACTGCCTCTTCTCTGGAATGTTACATGGGGTCTGAGTGCGCGCTGCCGACCTGAGCCAGGACTACAGGATGACGTCCTCCCGACATCCACATCCCCGCCCACTATAGATTGGCAACAGCTGCTGCCTGCATGTGCCGTTGTTTTACTCTTTTCTGCTGGGTTCGTGTCTGATCCATTCTCCTAATCAGAGCAAGGTTGTTTTTTTTAAACAAACTTTATTGCTTATGTTTTTTCATAAACAACCTATTCATTGCATTGTGTACTGTGTGAAGACTGAACAGCAGCAGCTGTTGCCAATCTAAAGTGGGCGGGGATGTGGATGTCGAGAGGATGTCATCCTGTAGTCCTGGCTCAGGTCGGCAGTGCGCACACAGACACCATGTAACATTCCAGAGAAGAGGCAGTCAGCTGCAAAGCGGAAGTTCTCCCCAGCATGAGAAGAGATCCTCCAGCGCGTTCCGTCAGCGCTGGAGGATCAGACAGGGGAGGGGGAATCCCTGCAGGGAGCCGTGAGTGACAGTCATGGCTCTCTGCAGGGACAAGATTGAGAAGTGAGCGAACGCCGGTATGTGTTCACTCACTTCCCGATCTATTTAGTCGACGTGTGAAAGTTTCATTGTCACAGATTGGCTAGAACTACGAGGCTGAGTGATTTTCACTCGCCTCATAGTTCTCCTTTAACCCCTTGTAGACCCAATGCAAGGGTTAAGTTTTATTCTGCCCAGAATTACATAGTATTTGGGGTTGAATAAATACATCAAGTCCAACCCATATAGGTCCACGCATCATCTCATTACAGTAAGGCAATGGATTTGGGGCCCGTTTGCGCCCTATTGCTGCATTAAACACATCGGATCTGTATGTTTAGTGCACGCTAAGTACTCGGGTGCGTTGCCATTCATTTGATACAGTGGGCATGTATTGCAGCACAGCAATGCACGGTACCGCAATACCATGTGTTGCGATGAAGAAAAGTAATGTATTTGTTACACTGCACCGCAAGGTATTGAGGTACCACATGTTGTGCAGCAACACGCGCCCACCAGGAGGTGCGCAGGGCTGCCATTCACATGAATAGCAACGTGCCAGTGCACCTAGTGTGCAGTGCAATGCGCTCAACACATATATCCTGTGCATTTAGCACGCTATGGTGTGAACAGGCCCTAAAGAACGGATTCCAGTGCTTGCCCTCTGTCGACACTCAGGTTACCTTTCACAAAACTTCATTTTTGAAGCATTTACTTTTCTTTAGCACTTCAAAATCAGGTATTCAGCGCTACGAGACAACACAAGCACATGCTTAGAGAGCCCATATATTTCTCTTGTGACAGGTGCACTTTACAGAATTTTAGAGGACACAAGTCATTAGTAAATATGGATTAGATTTCTTGCATCAGGCATTTGTTCATCAGGTACCTGGATTGAAGGCTGAGAATCAGTTCCCAGCAGGTAATTGCAAACCTGAAATCAGCAGTTAAATGAGAAGAAATCTCTCCAATGGGGGACAGACGGCAAATAAAAAAAAAATTTCCAGCTACAATCTGGAATAAACAATTATTGTCCAAGAGGTGTGAGCTTTCTTACTTGAATCTTGAGGTCTTCCAGATCTGTGCAGTTATCCGTCATTAAACAACTCCTGTACTTCGCCGCTGTGCAGGAGCTTCCTGTAATGAAGACCGGTCAGTGTTGCTCTCTTTTCTTGTGCGGGGAGACTGGTCTTTTATCCATCCCCTCCTCTAGTTCTAAGCCTCCAGCCTCTAGGGCAGTGGTGGCGAACCTTGGCACTCCAGCTGTTCCACAACTACAAATCCCAACATGCATCTGCCTTGGGAGTTGTCTGTGGCTGTCAGAGCCTTGCAATGCCTCATGGGACTTGTAGTTCCAAAACAGCTGGAGTGCCAAGGTTCGCCACCCCTGCTCAAGGGGGTGGAGCCTGCTGGGTCCCTTCCGCAGCTCTTTGCTGATGTCACTGCTACTCTTACAAGGCAATACATGGATTTGCAAAGGCATTTGATGCGCACAACGCGGATTTAGAACCTTTGTGGTTATTGAGTAATATATTGAAATTCAAGGTTTTTGTGCCTGGAGTTCAGAAGCCTTGATTGGGGAAATTTTCCCTCATTTGCTGTCCCAGTGACACACGAAAAAAGTAACGCACTCTATACAAGACAAATTGGGCTGGGAAGACGCTTCCAAGATTTGCCTTCCTTTAGTGCCACCAGCACGGCCTGAGTTCATACTGCTATGGGTGACTGCATGGCGCTCTTTTCACGTTTTTTTTAAAATAACTGGCTAGTTCTGAGGTAGTTGGTTCCCTTGCTGAATCGAATGGCATTATGTGCAATAGCCTGTATGCGTCCAAAGCACACTTAAAGCATGGTTTTACAGGAAGGTTTCATTTTTTTTCTGAACACACTCCAAACTCTGTGGAACTTTGTCTTCACTTCCAAACATTAAAAAAGGATGCGGACACAAGTAAATACCAGGGATGCACCGATACCAAGTACAGTACTCGGAACAAGGACAAGTACAGATACTTTTCCAACTCCAAGACTAGACTAGAGACAAATTCAAAAGTTAGGGCTCAGTCACACTAGATGCAGTGCGTTCCGGCCCGATTTTGGACAGAACGCACTGACTCGCATTGCGGCCGGCTCACTTTTTAGTGGGGCGGGAGGGGGCGTGGCGGGCCATTCAAGTGAATGGCGCCGTAGCCACCTGATCCGCCGCACGGGATCGCAAGGCACGATCTTGTGCGGTGCGATCAAAATGCTGCAAGCACTATGAATGAAACTGCATCACAACTGCAGTTGCATTGCGATCCGTTTTGAAGCGCTTTTTTTCCCCTGCGTGATGCCACAATCAATTCTGTTTATTTTTTGTATGCGTTACGTTGTGGTTTAGTGCGTTTTGATGCAGGTAAAATAGGACAAGCAGTACTTTTTCTGACTGCATCTGAACGGACTGCAATGGTGTGAATTAGGCACAAGAAAGTCCATAGGAAAGCATTGGGATGTATTTTGACTGCAGCAGTTAAAATAAACGGACTGCATCACAACTACATATGGTGTGAACTGGCCCTAAATGTATGACTTTGTTTTTATAAACATATATAAGGGATGCACCGATACCAGTTTTGCGAGTACGAGTACTGATACTTGCCCAAGTCCTCACAGATACAAGTACTGATACATTTTTGTTTATTGTCATGTGACAGTTTTTCTAAAACAATACAGACTAATGATTTCAGGACAGTGGTGGAGTGCCAGAGCCAGGTCCCAGCTACAACCGCTGCAACCCTGGTAGTTCTCATGAAAATGCCAAGTATCAGCATTGGTACTCGAAAAGTATCTGTGCATTCCTACTAATGACCTATTCCAATAGAATGCTCGGAGATTCTTTAGGTGGAACTCCAGACGAATCTTGTTTTGGATAATGTAAACAGGGATCAAGTTATTGAGGACAGTTTCCCTTACATCCTGTTCGGTCACTGGCCTGGAACCGAGGGGAATACGGAAGCGATGAAAGTACCGTTTTACAGTAGGTCTGTGAAGGGTTACACTCCTCGAGATATTATTACAGGTATTTATATAGCGCCGACATTTTACGCAGCACTTTACGTAGTTGCACATGCACATCAGTCCCTGCCCTCAAGGAGCTTACAATCTAAGGTCCCTATCTCACATGCATACATAGGAGGGCCAATTTTTTTTTTTTTAGAGAGGAGCCAATTAACCTTCCAGCATGTCCTTGGAGTTTATTGCCTGCTGGGGAGATTTCCCCTCACCGGTATTGTCAAAAAGACAAGAAGGAAGGGAAAATCTTCCAAACAAGGACGCAGTCATAAAAACCCCAACAGAAGACCTAACCCAGGGATGTCCAGACTCCGGTCCTCCAGCTGTGGTGAAACTACAAATCCCATGATGCATCTCTCTCCGGGAGTCATGTCTGTGACAATCTTGCAAAGCCTCATGGGATTCGTAGTTCCACCACAGCTGGAGGGCCGCAGTTTGGACATCCCTGACCTAACCCCTTTCACCCTTCAATGTCATCCAACAAACTGTTTGTCTGCAGTTCCACTCTAATGGTTTTGGAAGCTGGTTCTCCTTTTTTCAATTTCTAATCAAAACACCAGCACTTGGCTGTGTCAGCGGCCTGTCTGAAAAACATTTATTTGGCCTTTATACCTAGTATGTGCATTTTGGCAGATTTTGTTTCCCCCCGTCCGTGCTATCAGATACATATGGCTGTCTGCAATCGATGAGCTGTTCCGTGACCTCACCGTGGCCTGTGTCTCTCCAGCGGTCACCCTCTCCCAATGGGCTTCATTCTCGAACAAAATCGCCCCCTCTGCAGCCAATGTGCACTCTGCAAGTTTCCTTCTTCCCGTAGTCCAGTTTCTAAAACTCAGCATGCTCACAAACAAGCTTTCCTGGAAAAGCAGTCTACTGTGGACGGGTCATGGTTAGGACTTGACGGGCAGCCCGTGCCGTTTCTTTTATCTCATGGCAAAGGAGTAGACGTGATAGATTTCATCAGGGAAGTTCTCCTGTCGCTCTTGGGCCAGGACGGAGAGGCCGGCCTGTCTGATGACTCTGCATACCACGTCCAGGTCTCTGCAGATGCTGCTGTCCACGTCGTCCATAATGACGCCTTCTGTGGCCATGTTGTCCTTGATGACAATTATGCCGTTGGGTCTTAGGCCAGCTTTGCAGCGCTTTAAGAAGTCCACCAGGTCGCTGTCTGTCAGATGTCCTGCACCAAGATGATGACCATTAGCAAATGTGCAACTAAACAATGACAACTAAAGCGGTCCCGTGGGCAAAAGCAAAAAAAGGACATATATACGATGCAGCCTGTCAATAGCATTAAAGGAGAACTATGGGGTCAGGGTTTTTCCCCATAGTTCTCCTAAGGGTAACGGGAGGACACAAACTAGCGTCCTCCCATCCCCCAAAGCTCAGTATATCGTGAGCTACAGCTCGCAGTATACTGAGACACCGCAGCCGGAGCGGATCCCGACAACTCTGTCTGGATCCGCCCAGCTGCGTGAGTGACAGCTGGCTCTGCCTATCTAGAGACAGAGCCAGCTGTACCCACCCCCTCCCCCGTCCGTTCCACCAGTCAGCGCTGGAGGATCGGGGAATCCAGTCCCTCCCCTGTCACGGCTCTCCGTGACAGGATCAAGAGGTGAGCGAACGCCGGTATGTGTTCACTTCCCGATCTACTGAGTCGACCTGTGACAGTCTCATTGTCACAGGTCGGCTAGAACTATGAGGTGAGTGAAAAGCACCCCCCTCATAGTTCTCCTTTAACACAGCAGTTATTCTTTTTTTATCGGTGGGGTAGTCTTGGGATATGTTAATCCCTTCGCGACTGACGTCGCCAGCATCAGGGCTATTTAAGCAGACAAAGCCGCCGGGACTCTGTTTAATCTTGTAAAGCTGACAATCGGCTTTACAATAGAAGCGATTCTCGCGATTTTAAGTACTTTTCAGTCCTAAAATGTGGAATATAACATGGGTGCAAAAAAAAATGAAAAAAAAGGCCTCGGTCATGAAGGGGTTAAAAGATTGCACTTATATACATTTATAAGTATGTGAAGCCAAACTGGCACCTAACTTTTGGACCCCCAGCATCACCTTAAAGAGTACCTGTCACCACCATCTGCTATCACATGGGGGATTGTAAACCCCCCTATGTGATAGCAATCAAAGTAAAGTAAAAAAAAATAAGTTTTTAAAATTAAATAAATCTAAAAATAATAATAAAAAAAAAAAAATAAAGTCCCCCACGAGCATGCGCGTTGCCACTTAAACACACTGGCATATAACTCATCATATGGACTTATGCTCAATTAGTAGCAGTGTTGTCAGCCTACCATACGTGCTCCTTGAGTTGGTCATTGAGCTACTTAGGTATCAGATACGCAGCCCAAAAGGCCAACTGAGGAAACTCACATGGAAGGCTGACAACACTACTGCCAACTGCAAGAAGAGGTTTAGCGTAGTCAACCTACAACAGGAAGTGTGCTTACTGACAGGATCTACAGCTAACATGGTACATGTTACCATGGAAATACTAAATAGATTGCACATGCTCTGCAGCTGACGGATGCCGCATATTCCTCAGCAGTTGGAGGACTCCATGCCAAACCCTCATGGCAAGATATGAGACAACTATAGTTTAAAAGATGTGGAAAGCCAATATTTTCAGTGCAGCTTGGAAAATAATTCTGTCACCTGATTGGCTGCCACAGACAACCCCGTCACTTCTCCCAGTCACCAGTTTTAATGCATGAGATCTAATAACATCAGACGACCTTCTCACCTATCACCCATTGTATCCAAATGACGTCATAGCGGTTTGGCTCTGGAGCAAACTCCTGCAGCCCGGAGCAGTAGAAGTTGCCTATCCTCTTCCCGTCTTCCCCAAGATAACTCTTCGCTTTGCTTAGAAACTCATCTGTGACGTCGACCATGTCTACGGTTTTAAATATTGGCAGCAAGAGACGTTTGGTGATGCGACCTATGCCAGCCCCACAGTCTAGGGCACATGATGTGCCCATCTTATGAGGACCGTCCTGTGAGAGAGAAAGAAGAATTTACTTAAATAAATTGTAAAAAAAAAGCAAAAAACAGTTAATTGCATAATGTAAGTGAATACGGAAGGTACTTCTACACCGGAGAACCACAGTCACACACACAGGGCTATTCACAAAAGGGTGAAGGGTTTGGAGAAGGCAGGAGAAGTGAACAATCTAGGCCAAAGTAGCTGATTTGGAAAAATTCTCCAATTCAGCTCACTGTCCAGTTCAGCTATGTTGGCCTAGATCAGTGGTTCTCAACCTTTCCGGGGCCGGGACCCCTTGGTAACATTTGGCAAGCTGTGGTGACCCTCCAACGGAGCGCTGGACTCCAGAATTAGTAAGGCGCTGGACTTGGGACTAAAAATAGAAGCACCACTCACATGAATACAAGCCCTCCCCAGCCCCTGCTACCTGCTTGCCTGCTCTGCCTCCATGCAGCCTTCTCAGCCCCGGGACTGCTTAGACGCCCGGCTCCTGCAGAGGTCAGCAGCGGATCCGTATCTCGGATTAAAAAAAAAATCGTGCCATGCTGTTCAACCTCATTTACAGGGGTAATATTAGTTCCTGTTTCAAAGAAATTCGGATCCGAAATTCGTTAACGGAATTTCGTATTTCGGATATAATTCGGAAACTGCCATTCGGATTTCGGATGCTCCGAAATTCGGAATTTCAGGAAAATTCGTACGAATTTCGATTCGTAACGAAACGAATCGCACATGTCTAGTCAACAGTGACTTGCGACCCACAGGTTGAGAACCGCTGGCCTAGATTGTTCACTTCTCTTGCCTTCTCCAAACTCTTCACCCCTTTTGTGAATAACTCTGTTAGACTGGGAGAGGGAGGAGCAGGATTCCATTGCAGCCCTTTACAACTCTGCCTAGTGAGAGGCAAATGGCATTTTTCCAATATAACTACCCAACAATATTTAGGAATAGGAGTAAGGGGTTAGGGCTGCTGTAGGAAAATTTCACATAAGTAAAACCAAATAATGAACAACAAAGGCTATCCAGTAAACTGTGCAAGAGTCAGAAAAGTCCATTTATTTTCACTTAATCCACTGCAGCCACATTTCACACAGTTCCTCACAAGGTCACTGCAAGTACTTCCTACAGCCTGTGTTCTATCAAAGTTTGTGACTGTGTTAGAAAGTGTGACCGGTGACGTGGTCACACATTTTAACGTAATCAAGCCCACTTTTTCGGAGGTAAAATATGTGACCGGCAAAAGGTGAAGAATTCCAGCTGATCCAGGGCAGATTGGCATCGCAGATCGTATGTGCATGAGAACCAATCTGCCCTGGAACAGCTGATCCGTCCTGAAATGTCACTTCTATCCGACTTTGTGGGTGCGATCTGACATTCCACAAAGTCAGATAGAAGTGACATTTCAGGACCGATCAGCTTAGGCAGCTGAATGTAAATACAGCATGCAGTGGAGAAAGTTCTCCTTCAGGTCCTTCTCTGCTGATTGGCAGCAAGCAGTGGGCGGGTACAATAGCCAACTTGCTATTGCAATTTAAAATAACCAATAGCAGGCTGGCTATTTCTCCTGGCCGCTGGATAAGAAAACTTGATGCCGGCTTTATACCACCGGCCGTGAGGGGGGCAGGCCGCGGAGGTACGGCAGGCCGCGGAGGTGCGGGGGCTCGGCAGGCCGCGGAGGTGCGGGGGCTCGGCAGGCCGCGGAGGTGCGGGGGCTCGGCAGGCCGCGGAGGTGCGGGGGCTCGGCAGGCCGCGGAGGTGCGGGGGCTCGGCAGGCCGCGGAGGTGCGGGGGCTCGGCAGGCCGCGGAGGTGCGGGGGCTCGGCAGGCCGCGGAGGTGCGGGGGCTCGGCAGGCCGCGGAGGTGCGGGGGCTCGGCAGGCCGCGGAGGTGCGGGGGCACGGCAGCAACAACTAATCGATAATGAGAATCCTTGACAAGAATTCTCTTTATCGATTATCATCGATTAGTTGTTGCAGCCCTACCCACAAGTGCTAGTTTCAGACAAGGACCAAGCGCATGATCTGCTGGGCTAATTGGTTGACAACCCGGCCCTCCTTTTAATCCTTGTGGTCCAATATACTGCCTGCTCTGCCCCATGTATCCCTGTTCTATTAGGTTCTGCACAAGGTGAATATTGTTCTCTGTTTATCCTTCATATTGATTTTCTTCTTTACACATATTGCTGTTTTCTTGGTATTTTTTGAAAAAATAAAGAATTAAACAAATCTAAACTGTGAGCAAGTTGGTCGTGATCACTGTCTGTATCTTGAGACTTCCTCTCTCTCCCCCTCCACGTCATGTCCCAGCATTTTTTTTTTAATTTTACCTTGCCCCTGTATTGAGAAAGAGCTTGTATTACATCCTGTATGGTCATTACCTGGTTTTTAAAATTCTTGCAGGAGCAGCTGCTAGGAAGTCAGTTTCTATTGATGTAGGCACATCCCTCAGAACTACATCTCCCAGGAGCCCTTTCTCTACCCACAGTGTGTACGCAGGTTCTTTTGAGTCACTGTTTTTCTTGTTACGAAATCAGTGTATGTGAAGTGGGGCAGAGAGGGGTGGTGTATATTGTGCTGTAGTCCAGCAGGCAGGGCTGACAACACTGGTTGTGACTCCAGTGCTGTAAAATCATTGTGTTGTCGGCACAAAGAAGATGTTAGGAGTGCACTGCATTTCTTGCTGTGATTTTAAAGGGCTAAATTGTGGGGAAATGTGCATATATCACAGAGATGTACTGTTTTGTTTTGCTTTTTTGCCCTGGCATACACTTCAAGGGCTAGTCCACCTTTGTGACTTGTGAATGAATCTCTACAATAGATTCCAATCAGCATGTGCAAAGTCATTTGTTTAAAAAAATCAATGCTTATCCCTCCATTCGGTTATAATGCATTTCAAGGCTGTTTTCAAAAGATGCGCCAGCAGAGCTGCATTTCCTTCTTTGCCCGTGTATCTGGCACTGTAGTTCAGTGCCCGGTGATCAAACTACATGCGCTACAATTCAATGCGCCCAACAGTATGCCTGGACAGGAGTGGCAGGGGACCTCACTCTACAAGCAAAATAGGAATTTTGCAAGGTGAAAGCCGCAGATGGCGGGAAGCTGAATTTCAGCAACAGAACAACGATTTCTAACCTACTGGGCCCCCTGGCTGCACTGTGATGTTTACTATAGAGGTGAACTAACCCTTTAAATGAAGCCAGGCAATATGTGGACGGTATGTAATTCATAAAAAAAAAAACGACAAGTATGGAATTCTCACATGCAAAACATTATTTTACAGCTCAGAATAGTATACAGTGTTCCCGTATCTAGGAATGACATCAAGTAATTGATTCTGCATGTGCTGGCAAAGAGAACCATTTAAGTTTTTACACCTGGGATTCATGTTCAGCAGAATAAAACTCAGCATTGGCACCAAGCTGTTTTATTTTAAGATCCAGCAGGAGGCCACGCCAGGAAGGAGGAGAATTGCTTCCAATCACTATAGTCTCAGCTGACTAACACAGCATATGAAACCTCTAATGTATTTCTGAATATTACTATAGTTTATTACTCCATGCTACTCCCACACTGAAAGGGTTAAGTGCTTGATTTTCTCTGAGGGGGAAAAAGAGGAAATACTCATCTGATCCTCAGTCCTGCGGCAGTGACTCTCTCCCCCTCCAGGCTATGGTATGTCCCGTGGCATCCTCATGTCTAATGCAGGTGAATGGATTGTATTAGACATGATAACATCAGCAGGCTTAGACCACTGAAGCAGAGGGGGGAAAAGAGGCTGTGGGGACCGGTCTAGCCGGTTGGATTGAGGATTGGTTGGGTATTTCTTCTTTATTTGAGATAGACAGACAAATAAATATAAAATAGACCCAAAATCATTATACTTTCCCTGACTACATGAATTAATGTTGTGCATTGTTACCTCAAGTAAACTGTGTGACTGGTAAATCAGCAAACAACGATTACAGATAAGACATATGAGGTCTATACTTCTACTGGGGAATTTAAACTGGAATGAAACTCACCTACCCTTGATCCTTTGCTGGCACCAGCATCGTTGCCCAATGTTCTTTTGAGTCCAGGATCCTCGGGCAATCTTGATTAGCTGGGCCAGAATGACATTCTGTGCATTTACACAGGAGTTCATTCTTTCCAGCACAAAGAATGTACACTAAGCTGTGCACGTATGGCTCATTGTACATTCTAAATATTGGGAAGAGGCAGGTAAGTTGGTTTTATTGCAGAAGAGACGTAGCATGTCACTTTTGCAATTAGAAGCTTACCTGCATGAAGTTCCACTTTAACTAGGAGGGCCAATGCATTATGTGGCACTCAATACTCCAGTGACGACACCGATGCAGCGGGCGGCACTCAATGCTCCAGTGATGACACCAATGCAGCGTGTGGCACTCAATGCTCCAGTGATGACACCAACGCAGCGTGTGGCACTCAATGCTCCAGTGATGACACCAACGCAGCGTGTGGCACTCAATGCTCCAGTGATGACACCAACGCAGCGTGTGGCACTCAATGCTCCAGTGATGACACCAACGCAGCGTGTGGCACTCAATGTTCCAGTGATGACACCAACGCAGCGTGTGGCACTCAATGTTCCAGTGATGACACTGATGCAGTGTGCGGCACTCAATGCTCCAGTGATGACACTGATGCAGTGTGCGGCACTCAATGCTCCAGTGATGACACCAACACTTTGAGGGGACTTTATCAAAACTGGAGCAGACAAAATCTGGAGCAGCTGTACATAGCAACCAATCAGCATCTCCCTTTCATTTTCAAATCTTAACTGAACAAAGAAGCTGATTGGTTGCCATAGGCAACTGCTCCAGATTCTGTCTGCGCCAGTTTTGATAAATCCCCCCCCCCCCCCCCCCCAGTGTGTGGCACTCAATGCTCCAGTGATGATACCGGCTACTATGGAACCGGCAGGACACGATTCTATAAACACAAATGTACCATGCATTGCTGCAATACACAGGTATGGATGTGGCCTTAACGTGGATGATAGTACTCACAGGACCCCCCTTCATTCAATTCAGTATATCTGGATCTACCGGCTTTACACACTTGAGGACTATTTACAGTACAACGGGTGACAGAAACCTCTGCACATACAGGTCTACTCACTCGAAGGAACCTCTGTAGAAACCTTTTGGAGCCACTGATGTCAATGCTGGAGATGTGTCCGTAGCCGCCCAGCATCCCGTCCACTGTAGGCGGAACATTCTTCCAGTACCTCTTTGCGTTACAGTAGAACTGAGACTCGTCTTCCACTAGTTCAGTCGACATTGTAGAAATTACTGAAACACAAAAGGAAAAAAAAAAAAAAGTCTAAAATTTGATGTTCTCAACAGCTTCCCTTTAAACTTAATTCCATCACCCTGCCCAGTGGTGTTTAGAAACCTTGACTGCCGTAACTCTGTCCATCTTACTTTTCCTTTGGTGGCCGGTTGCTTTTGACTTCTATACGAGCTCAGTCAGTTGGTCCGCTGTTACAAATTTGATTACTGACAGCCAAAGGCTCAAGAGTGTCTTTCTCCGACCTCTGTGCGTGTGCAGCTTTCCTCCACAAACTTTACCCAGGGTTACATTTCACTGCACGCAAAATTCTACTCCTGCAATTCAGAGAATTAACTGTGACAGCTTATTACAGAGGCCGGCAGCTTTGCCGGGATTCTGCTCCCCCCTCACACAACTGCTATTTTTACTATTTAGATGGTTTAACCCTAATGCTGCCAGGGAATTAGCCCATGTGCAAAAAGTTATTCTTAGACTAGGAGTAGCAACAATCGCTTAGGCAGAGGGAAGGTGACTGAGTACATGTCAGCCTAGAACAGAGTGATGATGCCTGTGTGACCTAAGGGAGGGGAGGCCGACACGAAGGCTCCATCTGTTGAAACAGCAAATGGTCGTGAAGGACTACAAAGCTCACTATATATAGTGATTCCCTTGCACTGCAGTATTCACACATACCTTCCATGTCACACGTCCAAAAATAACACACTGCATTTGCCAAAGGACAAAAAAAAAAAGGAGATAAGAAACACAAAAACATGGAAGCGTGACAGACATTAGGATACACTTAAAAAAACAGAACAAAGACCGTTCGCAGTTATTTGTGTTCTTCCACATCACCGGTGGGGGGGGGGGGGGGGGGGTTTTTC